TTACTATAGGATCCGAATACGCTTAAGGGGTAAATAGAAAATAGTGTTCCATACTCGATACGGTTTACCTTTTAGTCTAGTTAATATAATACCCCTATGATATTTTAGTCTTACCTTAATGAGGCCTTAGCCGGGTTACTAGACGTATTTTATATAGACTTCCTCTCTAATATCCTTATCTTCACTTAAATATGGGAAGAGTACTAGACGCATAGGAAGCCTTAGAAAACTTATCGTTAGGATATGTATCTTTATAAATATATTCTAGGACTAATCAATTACTATCACTGGTACTATTCTTAATAGATAGGAAAGAAGCAAGCAATAGTAGCAATTTATTGGTTATAAAACTAGACGGGGAAGAAGGGAAGCTTCGAACCTCCGAGGACTATCTAACTACACTCAAGGACTATCACGGTTCATATGACACCTAGAATATATTATCTTAACAACTATTAATTGGACTTAAAGGCTATAAGAACTAATATTATTATATTAGTAGTCTTATAAGGAATTATATTAATCTATAGAGGTAATAGCTCATAAAAATTATTATAAACATTAAAGAGGTTATAGATAGGTATTATAGGAATAGAGCTAGCGATTAAGCTTATTCTTGAAGAATGAATTATGGGAGGGACCCTTAGAAAGATCGCTCACTAATAATAGCGGAATTGTAGGATAAGACTATTATTCTATATCTAGAATCAGTTAGATATTTTTCGTTATGGCTAAAGGATACAAGGGAATAATATATTAGCAAAAGATGCGCTACTAATACATTAAATGCTTTATCTGGATAATCAGAGACGACTATAATAGCAAGTGGGATAATTATAAAGGATAATAAAGTATAGGGTAAGAAGGTAAGGAAAATAATTATTATAAGGAGTACCTATGTATGAGAAGCTAGGAAAGAATATAGAGAATAAGAGAAGAAATCAATATATATTTGTTTCTAAAGCCCAAGGTTTACTGTCTTCAATGTTAGTAATTACTATAAGATTAAATAGTATAAAAGAGAAGATTAAGCTTTGCTATATCTTATGATTAGCCTTTAATATAGTAAAAGTTTAGGGCCTAATTAGAGATATTTGTAACGGAGTCCTCAGGAATCATGTATAGGTCTCTTGCACGGATCTCTCGTACCCCTCAAGGATCGCCAGCAACACGTCAGCGTTGGCTCACCGTAACGCTGATCCTCCATGTTAAATAGTCCAGTACAGGAGAACCCAGAGGTTCTCCAAGAATCAGTCTCTGTATTCCTCCAATATACTACTTGCTTCCCAGGCATCTTCGTCTTACCTAGTTGACAGGCTCTATCCTGCAAACACTAGACCCCCCTTCTTTACAATATTAAACAAATATATTTCATATAGATACCTCTGACATTTACGTCACTAAAAATACTACAATTATGAAAAGCTTAGGACTTACCTTTACATATACATATAATAGATTACTATTACACATTTTATATCTTTGTAGTCCTAGTGATTTATATATATAGTAATTACCAAGAATAGAGGGTCTACTATCTCTTAAATATAGAGAATCCTAGACTAGACTATAGGCCTAGACAAGTCTAATAAACCTACCTACATATGATTTAAGATACTAAGCCTACCCCTAATATCAATTAGCTATATTACTTTACTAGCTTAGGGTTATAACTCTCTACAATAATTACCTTACCTATATAGGACTTTCCTCTATCTAGTAGGGGTTTTATATCCTATGAGATTTCACTATATTATCTTACAATAAGACCCTATTCAACCGCAATATAGTCCTACTACTTTTAAATAACCCTAAGGGCATAGTCACCCAGGAGGAAGATAATACTAGGACTCCTAATATTAGTTAGACATAAGTTAGAGGCCGTAGGGCCTAGGGATTATCCTAGGCAATAGCAACATATTCTAAACGCCCCGCTAGCTATAAGTTCTTATATTATAAGTTATATATATTAGCTGCTTGTCAGGACCACTGACTAACTGACGGATGTTAACTAGCCTGAGGCATAAATAGATGCCTCAGGACGTACGGAATAGATCTAGGACCTTACCGTCCGCGAATAGGCTAGACTTATATATAAGTCCTAGGAAGAACTGGCGTTTAGTCTCTTTATATAATTAGACCGTATTGTACTACACGCATAACTAGGGCTTCTACCTCGCTTACCCACCTAAACCTAGAGACTGCTGCGTGGTCTCACAATGCACCACTATCTATCAGATATTTATTCGAAATATGACAACAGTCGTAGAGTCAGGTACCAAAGCGACATATAACACTCGGCAGAACTGGTATAAGTTGTGCGATACGGCCTAAACGTAAGTCCAACGTATCTTTGGTGTGGTATATTATGATCTAGCCAACAGCGGGGGTCATAGGTTGCTAGCAATGCTGTAAGCTGACAGAAAAACCCACATCGTAGGATTAAGTCACGCATATGACATGTCACAAGGGCATATAGAATACACGATGACGGGGTACACATAGGCCCGGGAGGGTTAATCAAATACAATACAAGCGCTTCAGAGAGATATCAAGGCCTATCACAAAAGCCCAATGAACAACATGCATAACCACCGTACCTGGCTCCATGCTCAATAAGTAGCCCCCAACCCCAAAGGCAGGCCGAGGGCCTCACCTTAGCAGATTGAGGAACATTGTTACACGCTCGTAATCGACATCTGAGCCAGGTGGCCCGGACTTAGGAACCCCTGTAGCCGGTCCAACGATAGCTTCGAGATCAATCCTAGTCATGCCAGGATGGAGTTGAACATCATATGCAAGTGTATTCACATCACCAGAGGCGTGAAGCCGCCGCAGACCCACAAGTGCGACTATCTTTACCTGCCGCTGGGCAGTACTGGCCGCTAAGCGAGGTCTGACCGTTAGTAAATTGTGTGACGCAGGAAGGTTGACAGTGATATTCTGCTGCGAAAGTCGCGAAGAGGGTGGTACGTCCAGACAGAAACTATGCTGCAATGAGAGGGAGGTGTGTGAGAGAATTTGAACATTTCGAATTAAAGAAGTGCTCGCGTCTGGACCACAGTTAGTTTTAAAAACCATGCCAATCACAACGGGGCTCAAACCTTGACCTGGTCGCCTCAAAATTGACTCCATAGGGGATGCGCCAAGAGGTTGCGGAAAGGGTACATGAGCTAAGATGATGTTAGTATAGTAGAAGAAGCCGAGCAAAGTCCGCGGTTCTGCAAGATAGCCAAAATAGCCATCGAAAGCAATTTACCTGAGCCTGAAGAATGCTGAGCGATCTCTGTTGCAGAAGCCTCGGCAAATAAACCGGGGAAGTTTTGTGAAGTGCCAGTCTCAATGTGAGCTATCGCCATGGGAGTCTCGTTCTTGACTGAATTGGACATATATTGTGCACCCGCCAAGGAGCCCTGGTGCTGTTCCGAGCTAGCTGGGGTGGTTGCTGCACTTGATTCTGGGCTCTCCATATTTCTTCGAAAAGACCTTGTCCGAGGAGACATGCTGACATCTTGACCTGCAGACCCAGTCCTGACATGGTCTTGTTGGCGTTTCAGAGATTCATCATCGACCGCGACACTGGATGGTTGATGCTTGTCCTTGTATGCAATATCGGAGACTTGCCCAGAGAGTTTCAAGGATAGCCTCTGCGCCGTCGGTTCTGGCACCACTGTGCCCATCTTCAATTTGATGCGAGGCATCTCGGGATTTCCATCTATCTGAAGGGGGTCCGGTACAAGCCTTTTGGCCTCCGCAACCCGTTCTTTGAAATGACGCTACCCGAGTGTTAGTAGAGCAAAGGATACACGTAGCAACAATATGTCCTGGTGTAGACTTGCCTCCAGAATCCCTGCTAGAACAGAAATGTCGCTGCCATCCTCGTTGTACTCCCTTGCATTTTGCCATATACAGCTGACTTCCTCCTCAAAGGATTTCCAAGTAGGATAGGCGGTTGTTTTTGATGAATTCTTTCTGCTGTCTGTGCCTCGGACTCTCTTCTGAATGCTCCTGAGGGAGACGGGATGTTGAATGATCTCGTAATAATCCTTGTAGAGATTTCGATCTGGCTTTCCAATAAAAGGATAAGAAACATCTTCGCCACTAGTTCAGGATAGTCAGCGTCGGCAGATATATCGGATGACGGAGTGTTCCTTACTCGGAATCTTTCAGCCGGGCTAACTCTGACATAATCTTGTCCTGCGCAGTTTGAAGGCTATCGCCCTCGAAACTAACCTCAGATTCGGCCTGCGACCTTGGGGTTTCATCCTCTTCAGCAGATGCTGGATCTGAATCCAAATGCGACGGTGCGCGATTAGTATCTTCAGCACCGGTCAGATCATCGTCCTGTTGTTCGCCAGATAGCCTCAATTAGCAACCCAAACACACGAGGCAAGGGGGTTGAATGAGTGCGCGCAGTCAATAGCAATATGATAGCCCACGGACACTTGGGTACTACCAATCCATTTTGCCATACTGCGTAGTGTGTATCACATTTGCCAACAAATACTCGACGGCATGGTAAAGCAAAAACTTACAGATATCTTTCGGCGCTTTGATACGCGCCTCACATCTGGTGAAGCTGCGGCAGCTGATCGCCGTTTGGAGCTCATTTCGGATTACCTATGATAGCGTTGCGAGTGGTAAGGTGTCACACACTGAACATTAAAATGACGGAGAAAAGAACCAAAGACACGCTTGTGAGAGAGTTACAAGGAGAGATATGATACAAGGGGAGTCATTGACATGGATTCCTCGACTCGTGTAGACGCGTCTGATGCGATCATCCCGGCTTAGTAAGGTGGTATCCAGCGGTATGCAGCAGTATTTAGCGGTATCTAGAGGTACTCGGTTGTAATTGAGCGTATTTGAGTACATGTATTCAATTAAACACAAGGCCAAAATAAATTTGCCTCTACATGAAGACATTCATTCTAATATGAGTTGACTTGGTCTGATCTGAACATAAGAAAACTGGATACATGATCACGTGCAAGCGGGACATGACACCTCAGGCATGTTCCCCCACTATTTTCCCAAGTCCCGCAAAACAGTCCGGTGCTTGTTCTACACGCTTTCTCTCCACGTCGCGTCCTTCTCAGTTCACCCCTGGGCCCCCCTCAACTGCCATTCTATCCACCAGGGCCACCTTCTCCAAAGCAGCGCCCCCACCTAGCAGTTCAGTTGCCGCTACATGCGAGCATTATCCAAATTGTAAGTTGCTGAACCAAACCGCCCCCTCCATATACTTGGTAGCTTGACTAAGGTATTGGTATTGATGATGCATGTAGCTGATCCTATCCAGCCACCAAAATCCAATCTGCTACGCTTTTTCCAATGGACATCGACCCAGCTAGACGCAACAAGAAGCCGCGTCTCCTCTTGGAGTCTGAGCGCGAGAAACTTGATGAATTTGTGGACTCAATTCATTATTCGGCCAGGTAAGCGTATTGTCCACGGGAGGTGGACTATTCCACATTGACCCTGCCACCTAGGTACAATGACGACAAATTTGAATACCGCCATGTGCAGCTTCCGAAGAACATGCTTAAGAAAATCCCCACGGACTACTTTGACAGCTCCAAGGGGACTTTGAAATTGCTTTGGGAGGAGGAATGGCGCGCATTGGGTATCACACAGGTGGGTTGGATATTGCCAGAGGACGTGTGTGGAGGCTAACAACATGCGCCTAGAGTTTGGGCTGGGAGCATTACGAGGTGCACGAACCAGAACCTCATATCTTGTTGTTCAAGTTGGTATTTTCTAATTGTGCTTTTGAGCCTGTCATTGACTCGTTATAGACGCCCTCTCAACTATCAACCTCCTCTCCAACAATAAGTTACTGGTTGCTGGCGTTACCTGGGACATTTGAAACCTTGAGAAGACATAACTGTGGGGTCGTTTATGGTATGGAAATGCATTCGCAGTATGCTTACTAGGATCCACAAAAGCTTCGTAATTGAAGTTCTGGAATGAGACAACGTTTCATTTTCTCCTTTTCCACCACTTCATTGGAACGCTAGATTCTGGTTTTCTATGCTATCCACCAAGTACCAGCCTATTTCTCGCCGCAGACGCCATGGCCCATCCAGCGCCCTCAAATTACGTTTTTGGCCAACCATTCTTCCCACTGGGCAGCGGTGAAGCTGCTACTGATGCCACGTTCCTCTACTCCCTGGTTCTGGTGTCAGCATATTGAACATAATCATTCTGTCGAGCGACCTTACATTGAAGAAAATTGTGGGCGAAACATGGACTCCCACTACTCGATCCGCCTTGGCGGTGTTAGAGGAAAACAGATAATCCCAGTGGGCAACAAGACAGATGTTTTACCTTGACCATCCACTTGATATCGTTGGTCACTTGGTTACCAGCATTCAATTGCCCATCGTCACCGGGTGTCTCGCTAATGGTTAGCAAATCAAGTACTTTCTTTTCGTCTACCCCCACAGTGCCTGCAATATTTGCCAATCGCTCGTATGTTTCGTTGCGCGTTTCATGCACCACGCTGATGTCGAAGAAATCTGCTTGGTGCTTGAACAGTGCAGAACTGTAATCCCAGAATTTCTCAGGGGCGACTCTAAGGATGGCTGCTCCGGCCTCATGAGTCAACGTGGACGATGGGTGCCACGGTTGTATATGCTGCCGAAATATAACTCGAAGCCGAGAACCATAGCGCTGAGCGAGCATTGGCTTGAGCGTGTAGAATGTATTGAACATCTTGGCCGAGAACTAGAGCAACATCAGTGAAGGTGACCCCAACCCATCTGCGTCATTTACTGACAGGACAGACATAGTCAAGATCTAGAGGTTGATAGTCAGCTGCTTTGCCTGTAACTAGAACCTTGAGAGGACATACACATTTCAAGAGTGTGTGGTGTCTCTTGAGATGCACCAGGTAGCTTGAGCCCAGCAAAATTGGGAGGCACAGACATGATGTTGAATATGAGATGGATGGAAAGTAAGACATTAGGAATGGGGGGCTGTCGTTTATAAACCCCCGCCACACGTCATCCCTCAACCTCAAAAGGAAGCTGTATAATTAAGATATTTGCCATCTTGATTTCGTCAATTATGTACATGGTATCTAGCGCTGGGGACTATCTACGACATGAGACGTTTTTAGCAGTGAACTTGCTCCGCCTTGCTTCGGCGTGTTTTCATACATGTCCTTTCGACACACGTCGCCTTCGATACATGTCGCTTAACTTCCAAGTGCTCTCTGTCTCCTCATGTTTAGATCCTTCAGCGTCATCTCCACTGCTCGCCATTCGCGTTTGGCTGGATCATACTCGCCTCGCACCTCAAATCTACAAAATCCATTGGGTCCTTTTAGCCCAACCGGGCCTGCAACAAAGAAAGCACCCCGACGAGCAGACCCTGGGGCCCGAGACCGCTCATTGTTTAGCCGCAAGTTGAATGCCTTTGATGCCAAATGCAAATCTGATCCCGGGCTGAGATCAGGTAACGGCAACCGCTGTAGTAGAGATATGAGTGATGATGGGTGATAATTGGAATTTTCGGTGTTGGGTGGCATATTTTCTTTGAGCCCGTCGGTCATGGGTGGTTGGATGTTGGATTCTTCCTGTTGACCGATCCAGTTTCCTGTGTCCCGACCAGGCGTGGCGGATGGGTCATTTAGAAAATCCAACGCGTCCAGCGGTTCTCCCTTTGGTTTCCTTAGGCGATCCAGTTGTCGCAACAATAGCACCAGATATGCATCTCTGATTGCAAGTACCATATGGACTGGTTTCATGAACATTTGTAGCCTGTCACCCACATCGGGGTCCATAGGCTTAGTGACCCACGACACGCTGTCATGTGCGATCTCGAGTCTGGCCACCATCAGTAACTGATCCACTCGTCGGGTGTCGCGAATACATACCCTGACCGCACATATCCAGGAGGGGCACGGTTTGGAAACTGGTGAACAAGCCAGAAGCCTGTGATGGAGAGAGGTCCTCCAAGTATTTGCGACATCTGACTTTCTGCACCCTCTAGGACAATCGTGGCAAGTTCATCTGGACCTGTAAGCTAATGAGAATGATTGGACTGAGACGAACTCCTTACCTCTTAATTTTTGAAGCTTCTTTCGATCTTTGGATATCTTGACAAACGCTTGCCATTCTGGATCAGACGTACTGTATAGCTCGCCTGTCTGTAATCTGGACCAGGCGAGCGGTATGAATAGCGCGTCCTCATCTTCAACTTCTTTTCCGCGTTTGTTGCCACTTCCCTGAGAGGTGTCACGCGGAGCAGCATCTGTCGGGTCGGGAACAGCGGATGAGTCTGTATCGTCGGTGTCATCGTCGAATCGGACTAGTACGAATGTGGTCCATAAGTGAAATGCGGTGCCATAAAGCAGACACTTTGAGATAAACGACCTGGGAATTTCTGCATCAGTATGACTCAAAGGAGTTTCAACCAATCTCGGGATAAAGACAAGCCGTTACTCACCTGATCCAAGGCCGCCTGAACCTCACATGCTGGACGCTCGGTGATGTTAAGAAGTTGGGATGGGCATGACGAGATCGGAAGCGGAAGAAAGATGGGCGCGCTTGAGGGTTTCGAAACAGGTACCTGAGCCGGAGCATTGGGAACAGCCAATCCCTAGAAGGATTCTCACTCGAGAATCATCTCAGTCTCAAAAGAAGGAAGAGTTGGATTTCTTGTTGATGCGCTGCGAGTTTCCGCGGCGTAGGACTGGTGGCTTATGTAACCACCGTTCACAGAGTCACCAGCGGAGGTGCCCAGGTGTGCCAGCTCTTGTATACATATATTATCCCTTAAAGTACGCGGTGCTCTTAAATAAAACAAGGTTGAACACGAGACGTAACCAAATACACAGACATAAAGACAACATTAGAACGAAGTATTATTGACGTACGACCACGTGATATCTTATCGGAGGGCCAGTCTTCCACCAGCTAACGGTCTTCTATCCTTGTCTGTCTTCTTTTGCCTACGGTTATACAACAAAGGCGAATCAATTCTTGAGAGGAACATCTTGATGTGGCTATCGCCACGCCTGCCATAGTAGTCATCTTTTAACCCCCATCCTCCTTACTCTACTCGAGATGCGCTGGCTATCTACCTTTCTTGCCCTGGCATTAACAGGTGCATTGCAGGCGAATGCTCTGGAAGCTTCAATTTTCAGTCTCTCACCGGGGTCCTCAGAAATCAACAATGCCAATACTAAGCAGCAAAGACTGACTGAAGAAGAGGCTCAACTTGTCTTGGAGCTCCGCATGAAGTCGTCTGTCGCATCAGTCCTTGGAATGGTGGATACAGACACCGTGGACCGCCTGAATCAGTTTGCTAAAGCCGATTCTACTCTATTTGGAGGGTCTAGCAATGATGAAGCCCCTGGAAGAAGCATATTTATTCTAGAAGGGGTGGATGAACGAGTTGGTAAGTGTGCAGGTGGAAGTTGACACACATGAAGATTACTAGCTAACACCCTTTCTCTGTCTCTTCAGCCATGGCTCTGCACAAAGTACAACCAAACCACATCCTTGTCCCTCAAATTTCCACGACATTCGTGGGGGCGGACCTCATGGGATCATTCATCGAAAGCACATCCACCGTGATAGCGGACCGTGGTCAATACTGCACATACTACGATGATGCCAGCAAATCTACATCAATCAAACCTCAGGTAGTCTCGTCGCTATCAAAGTCTTTTTGACCCCCTGCTAATTTTGGGACTCCTTTCCACTAGACTGCCAGAGACTGCCTGTCCAAGGATCCTTTACTTGCACGCAGTTCCGAACTCCTTGACCAGGATTTCCTTAGACTTGTTGACTCAGTGGAAACTTGGGCAAGTAAGAGTCAAGAGAACTCGGCTTTGAAGCTTTCTTTCAAGGTATATAGTCCCCCCAAAACCAGTGAGAGCGCAATCTGATTGTATCAACCATAGACCGATTCGGGTGACTCCCTTCTTGCGAGTAACACTCTGGAGTCGTTGATTCTCCAATTGGCCCAGACTTCGTCAACCGGTGAGCGCGAAATCACAGCTGTCATTCTACCTCCTGGCCTCCAGTCAAAACCACTTAGCCGCCAGGATGCGAACCAGCAATCTGGATCCACAGCAAAGCAAGATACATTCAAACGGTCTACACAACCATTGCAGTCAACCCTGGCGCCCGTCTGTCACGCTTCAAATTCGTCATGTGCCGAAGCCACCAACAATTGTTCTGGACACGGCTCCTGTTACTTGAAGTATGGTTCAGGCGTTGAAGGAACCACTGGCAACTGTTATGCGTGCCAATGTCAACAAAGTATCATTAGGAACAGTGATGGCACTACCAAAACAGTCCAGTGGGGTGGCTCGGCTTGCCAAAAGAGAGATATCAGCTCACCGTTCTTTCTTGTTGCGGGTGTCAGTCTTTTAGCCATTGTGCTGGTCGGCAGTGCTATTGGAATGCTCTTTAGCATGGGCTCACAGGAACTGCCCAGCGTCATTAGCGCTGGTGTAGGGGCTCCCAAGACGCAGATGTGAGGACGTTGGAACATGGATGCTTTGCATTATGTGTGCTATTATGTCCCAAGTTCAAATCAGATTTGTCTTGATTTAAGCTAGTTTAAGACCAAAGTATATCTTAAAAGAAATCGTCAAAAAGGAAACCGTCAAGCTCACCTGTAATTGTTGCGCTGTCCACAATTATTTGACTACCATACCACCATCCCTGTTGCGCAACATTTGGGAGAAGATTGCAACAATACAACTAAAATCACTTGTTGCATGGACCAAGATGTCGCACAGAAGTAGTAGATGTTGACGGCGCTACGTGCAAATGTCATAATAGGATGGATTATGTCGAGGGATAAAGCGAAAAGTTGATGTCCGCACACAAAAAGATCACGAGAAGTGTACGCCCCAGTCCTATTTCCCCGCCAGTAGATAAATTACACATATCATGTCATAAACAGTGAAAGTCCCAACCAACATTCCAGATGTGGTTTCAGCATAAGATAAAGAACACAAAAAAGGTATTTCGCGCATGAATCAGGTGTGAAGTATGAAAAAAGAAGGCAAGTTGAATATCATGTGGTACCGGCTTCCAGTTGGCCAGGTGTACGCCGATCCGAAGATATAGACTCAACAGATGAAGGTTCAACTTCGGGTGGCGGATGAGGCTCTCTAGAAGAGGAAAGGCGGGAGGAAAGTTGACGGAGACGAGTTGGGACAAAGCGCGGCCAGGAAGACTGATTTGGATGTTCTGATCTCCAGAACCCATCACGACTGCGCTGCGGACGTGGTTCTCGACGCGGGGATCCCTCTCGTTCCTGTGAGGTCGTTTGGAACATTCGACCCGGTAAGATCATATGTACACGGAACCCATTTTCCCGACTTCGATTGCGGGCAGCCCGAGGAGGTCTGAGAATTGCATCCGCGCGGATGGAGGCGATACGATGTCCGTGTCGATCTGTGCCGGACTGTGTCTCCGTCTGCGCACGGGGCTTAGGAACATAGTAATCGGCTTTGCACAGAGGACAACAAGCTCTTCTACTCGTCAACCACGGGTCAACACACGAGGCATGGAAAGCATGTCCGCATGTAAGTCCCCGGATATCATCATCGTCCTCAATGATGTCCAGGCAAATGGCGCAAGAATCGCCAGGATTGGGCAAAAGATCAGTAGGAACGGCTTTCTGGATGTGATCGCCATCATCTTCGTCTTCAATGTCCGTGTGAATGCTGTCGTTGGCCAAAGTACGCTCATCTTCGTTCGCACCAGTGCCCTGTTCAGTCGAAGACATTCTTGATACCGTGGGTATCTTTTCGTCCGGGGACTGTGCTGGACAACCAACATGCAGATCTTGGGAAACCGTTTGTGATGTGTTGGAATACGGACGTTCATGGACCTCGGATGGCGATACTGTAGGTGTGGAAATATCAACCGATGTTGTCACAATCTCATTTCCATCTTTCGGGCTCTGAGGCCTGCTGTTTGGTGCTGTTATGCCTCCTTCTGTGGAAAGACCTTGGTTTGCGCGAGATGACCTCCACACTTTGTATTTGACCAGTGGAAACCGTTCGTTTACCTCGTCCATTGTCATCAGCTTTTTCTCCCTCCTCCGGCGATGAGCCCGAGGCATTGTGGCTAGATCTATAGGTTCTCCGGCTTCTTCACTGCGTAGCTGACGGTTTCGTTGGTTATATCGAAAGCAGTACTTGACGCCAACGATGATCCTGCAATGACAATCAGATTCCAGAATACGCGGAAAGCTTAGGCAAGGGGGGAAATGGAAGCAACATACCATAGATTTGTGAAGACGACGCCGAAGCCGAGAGCGACAAAGAACAGCAAAGGTGAGCTTGTAGCATTGTTCGAACCTGAACCCCCCGCGCTGTTGCCAGCAGTGGTAGTAGCTGCGCTGACCGAAGCCGATGTCGTTGTTGCAGACATTTCGATCAGCGATAAGGAGAATCACACGATCCGGATCGAGTAGTTCCACTGGAGTTCAGTTGCACCCAAGTCAATTCTTCATGCCTCGTACCAGATGGTCCCGTGGGTTGGTCTTTTTTTGAACCAGAACCCAGGTGTAACGACCTTCAAGTGTAGGTATGTGATAAAATATTTGAAAGGTTACCATAAGCGTACTTGGTAACTAAAATTGAAGACAGCCCATGGAAGACCGACCGTAAGCAATACCCACAGAACTTCCTGGGAAGAGAAAGTGAATGCCTTAACATATCACCCCCTGAAGTAAACCCCCAAAGGCGAGAGAGATGAGGAGAGAAAGGATGGCAAGAGGAGACCTCGTAATGGATGCATGCGGATCACTGAGATTGGGTCACGGGACTGCTTTGTCGCCGGTACCTCTGATTAATATGATGCCAGCGCTGTTACAGATGTACCAAGTACATAAGGCTTTGAGAGGGGATGAGACTGTGAGGCAAGGCAACTGTATCCCTGACTAAATCATCCTTTATATACTCTGAAGTAGTTATAACTTATTGTTACATTGTCGAACCTCCCTAGTTGAAAGCCAAAACCTCCTTTCTTCACCCCCTTCCAACCTTCGCCATGGAATCAAACCCAGTGGTTTTCTTTGATATTGCCCTTGGGGGTAAGTTGCCCCTTCTTTGTCCTGGTCCTTGATACTAACATATGCTAGGCGAATCCCTTGGGCGAGTGAAAATTGAATTGTTTGCAAATGTCACCCCGCGAACAGCAGAGAATTTCCGACAGTTTTGCACTGGGGAAAGCAAAACCCCCAAGGGACAACCCCAAGGCTACAAGGGAAGCAAATTCCACCGAGTGGTATGTGTTGACAATCTTGTCTCACAGACACCAAACTAAGTTCTATAGATCAAAGACTTCATGATTCAAGGAGGGGATTTCATCAATGGCGATGGAACTGGGTCCTGCACCATCTACGGCACCTCGAAGTTCGCCGATGAAAACTTCACTCTTACCCATGACCGGGCTGGTCTATTAAGCATGGCAGTAAGTCATTTCCTGGCTTTCTCCAGAGTATTCACTGAGAATAGTAGAATTCGGGCCCCAACACCAATGGCTGCCAGTTCTTTATCACAACTACAGCCACACCATTCTTGAACAACAAGCATGTGGTCTTTGGCCAAGTGATTGACGGGATGGAGATTATTCATATGATCGAAAACACTCGTACCAGCAAGGAAAAACCCAACCAAGATGTAACGATTGTGCAATGCGGAGAGATGTAAGAAACGAGAAAGAAGCATCGTGTTGATGCTACAACACAGCTGTGTACTATTATTACCTGCAATTGAAACAACCTTCTAGAACCAGGCCACAGGCGTATCATTGTTAGAAGAATCATGAAAAGATATCAATTTCCGGTGCTAGTAAGTTGACTTTTC